AAAGGCAGGAAGACTAGCCTGGGAGTGACAAAGAGAAATAAGGAAGAGACCTCCCCCACCTACAGGCCTAATTGTACAAGTGAACTGGAAGATAAAACTGCCACTACTTGCCAACTTGACTCTCCATCCTTCTAGAAGCACAAAAGTTTCTTCTCCTCTAAGAAGCCTTCTTTGCTCTCCCTAGTCTACCAAGATCTCTCACTTGGGACTTAATAAGCTTTATCTTGACTTCTGCACTGTCTTATGTACATAGGCATGGTCTTCTCGAATGAACCACAGGGTTCTCTGACATGCTGGAGAAAGCAAAGGCTTTGAAAACAATCAAAATTGGATAAAATCCTGGCTCTACCATTTTAGTAGCCATTGTTGTCATTGTTGTGTGCCGTCAAGTCAATTCTGACTCATAGCCACCCTACAGGAGAGAATAGAACTGCCCCACAGAGTTCCCAAGGAGCCGTCGGTGGATTCCAACTGCCTACTTCAAACAAATGCTTTTGTCTGAGATTCCATTCCCTCCTTACTACCATGAAGGCCATACTGAGAATTAAATAATACTAATATTTAAAGTCTCTGGCACAGAGTAGAAGCTCAATACCTTTTTTTCCCCTTATTTCATGCACCAGGCCTCCTTACACGGGGTTACAGGAGACAGCATAGAGTAAGTAGTAGCGACAGTGACAAGCAAGGCTGATATCCCGGCTCTGCCACATACCAGTCATGTGACCCTGGGAAAGTTTCTTAACCTTCCTGGACACCAGTTTCCTCTCATGCAAAATGTAAACAAAACGGTGTCAACATCACTGCGTTGTGATGAGTATGAAAAGAGATCATATAAAATCAATTACAACCATTACTATTAGAGCAAGCACTTAGTACATGTTGGCTCTTAGCTTATATTATGTATTAGACACTCAATTACTTATCAATTAATGGATAAGTTGTAATATTTTACGTCCACTCTCTTTTCAGGAGATTTGTCCTCACCAAGCTTCGAGTCATCCCAAAAGGAGCATTTTCAGGATTTGGAGACCTGGAGAAAATGTACGTACCTGCCAATGCTGTGTGTGAATGCCTAGAGCTGACCCTGAGCAGCAACCTCAGATCACATCTAGTGTGATGTTCTATGCTTAGAAGCCAGACAGACCCCCAGCAAACTTTTTGCACCTCCTCTCATTTTATTTCCTTACCATAGTTTCTAAACAACAGTGACGAATCTTCCAGAGTGTGGCCCTTAGAATGAGCAAAAGATCAATCCAAGCAATCCTCACTTTTGATTAAGG